TTCTCCGGAAGAGCTCTTAAACTGAATCCTTATCTCCTCCCTGTCACTGTCTGCAGCAGTCAGGGGAGGAGGGGGAGAGAAGCTGGCTGGAAATCCCGGGGTGCACTTCACAGAGTTTCCTGACTGTTTGAGACTCACCAGTATGTGCAGGAGCCTTCAACACCTTACAAGAACACCAACATTAAATCAGTGTCTGTTTGGTGCCCTGTCTTCTTTGTACCCTAGAGATAATCCACATGTTGCAGCCAAAACCTTGTTGGCTGTCACCTGTTTCCTTTGCAGGCTCATCCCTCACGTCACCCTTAGAGACAAGTATCTATTCTCAGCAAACACAGAAGCAAATCAAGAACAAATCTTATTCTTTCTGTCCCTTACACTTTCTAACATCTTAACTTCCACTGAAGTTAAGTTTCACATGAGCTTGCTAAATGAGAACTAAATGCCATTATGGGCTCCAGAAACTGAAATGACAACAGTGATAGCCATGAACCTCTGCAATAAATTGGTCAGTGCAGTTTCCTTATGTGTGGGACATGAAAGTTTAGTTTTAGAAACAGTGCTATTTCTCTCATGACTTGAAAGGCAGGTCAGAATTTTGGCAAAGCAGCCCCAGTTATTGAGTAACTTATGATCCAGTCTTGAAATGGTTATTTAACCACCAAATCTTCTCTATTCATGCTGTGATTTCTAAGAGGTGTTTTACCACTTTGCCTTGCATGTTTTGTTGAACATATTCAAAAGTAGTTCAAACACTGAAAGATTAAATAATAACCTGACTTATTCCTGATGTGGTCTTGTGCCCCTTACACTCAGTAGGTGAAGGCTTGGGGAGAAGTGAGATACATGGGATGAAATAGGTTTATGGTGGGAGAAGGAAAGATTACTAGATTTGTATTGGCTCCATTACTTGTTCTTTCTTTTTAGCAATGGAAACACCAGTAACTAGTTTGAGGATTCTTATTTTCTCCCTTGCTTTATTTTTCTTTTTAAATAGATGGGAAGATACATAGACAGAAGGATGTACTCACCTTAGTAAAACATATTTTCTTCTAGAAATTAATTCCTAAATGAATATTTACATTTTGTCTTCTCCCATGTAATGCACCATAATTTCCTATTATTGCTTATGTATTCTTTAATAAGTCACAACTTTTTCCCATACATATGTTCACGGTCCTTTCAGGTTGCATTCCTCTCAGCTTCTTTACCATTTTAGGATACGGGAATAAAGCCCCTTGCCTACAATGCAAGATTGTTCCTGGATGACAGAAGTCCTGCCTTTTACCAGGAAAGAACAAGGCTGTGTTGGGTATTTTGCAAAGGAAAGTGCCAGAGGATTGGAAATTTCAAAAATAGGTCAAAATATGGGAGATGGAAGCAGCAGGCTTCTTCCAAGGAGATTAACTGAAAGTCACAGAAGTTATTTTTACCCTCTAATCTTTCATAACATTACAGGACTGTAATAATGTATTTATGTATTTTATTTATTATTATTGTATATCATTAAATCTTGAGGTTCCTAATTTTATGTAATCTTAAGGGACATGGAGTTTGATAAAATGCTCACTAACCTGGTCTTTGTCTCTTAAGGTTGAATGTTCTTGGCTCCAGACTTTTCCGCTGGTGTCAAAGCCTAGGTTGGTCTTGTTAGTAAAGACTGAAGCATAGAAGGCACTGGGTACTTCAGCATTTTCTGTACCATTTGTGTCATCAAGCTCCCTGCCTCATTCAGCAGCAGATCCATGGTCTTCCTCAGTTTTACTGTTTTAGGTACTTGTGAATCCTTTCTTATTGCCTTTCACATCCCTTAACAGGCTCAACTCCATGTTGGCTTTGACTTTCCTAACCCTGTCCCTGCAAGGTCAATGAGATGCCACCTCTTGTGTTCTTCCTTTTCATATCTGATTTCTAATAAGAGCTCCTTGCCCATCCATGCAGGCCACCTGCCATCTTTGCTTGTTTTTTTCCCTTCATTATTTTCCTGTTATTCATAAAAACACTAGGAAAGGCCAAGCCATGATGATAAAAGGAAAGACCAGCAAGTGACACTTTTTAAAGTGATTGAACAAGAATGTGAATTTAAGAACGCCAGAGGTGCTTGAGAAATACTCCCCATAGCTTTTCCCATGCGTAGAAGAAGGGTCCAGAGAGTGCAGTAGAGATCTTTACACATGCACTTTGTAGCTAGTTAAAACACAGAATCAGGTTGTTCTGTCACAACAATGGGCTGCACTGTCTCAAGTTAACTCATCTGATTTGTCAGGGGGTGATGAGACTCACTATTTTAGATAAATGTGTCACTCTTCCCTTTATCCCACTCATTCAAAGCACACTGAAATTGTTCCTTGTTAATGCTAAAAACTACAAGGGATTGTTGCTGCAAAAAAAGAGGTAAACCCTGTTATTTTGCAGGGTTTTATATGGAGTCTGTTACCAAGGTCATGAGTAAGTAAGCAACACTAAATGAAAGTTACTCACAGGCTATTAATTGTTTTGGTTCTAAGTGAAGAAAAAAGTAAACTGAGACAATTTGCTTTGCTGAACTCTGCAGTGATCAAAGACCCATTTAACACACCAATGAAATAATAGAAAGGGGAATAAAAAGAGAGGAAGGAAGCTGAGGAAAGTCAGTGAGGGTGCTGGAGGTTGCAGCTGGCAAGTGCAGCCACCCAAGAGCTGCTGCTATGGGTGGAGGAGCTGGCAGAGGGCCAAGGGATGTTTGTGTGGTTTTGATGCAAAATGAAGTCAAAAGGGCTTCTTTTAATTCACTTGCATTACTTGCACTGTCCTCATCATCTCTGTGCCTTGCTAAGAATTTTCTCTACTGGCAGTCATCATCAGAAGCCGTGGCTGCTGATTTTCAGCTCACCCTCACCCTTTGCTTTCCCTGTTCCTGCATGAAGTTACACTATTAGGATGGATCTTGTTTGCTCAGACCAAACATGCCAACATTGCACTGTGTGTGAGCCCTGAAGAGGGGATACGTTGTGACAATGCTCTGCCCTTGTCCTCTTGGGAGCAATGACCAACAGGATATGGGCAAGTTAATCAACCACACTCCTGTAGGCAGGCAGGCAGAAAAAGTCCTGGGGAAGAACAGATCCCGTGGCTCACGGGAAAGGCAGCTTTCCAGTTCATGGACTGGGCTCATGAAAAAAATCAAACCAGGTAATCAGAGATGGCTTTTAGTAAGCAGAACCTGAGGCAGGTGGCTGGGCCAGTGTCTACCTGCATGGGGGGGGAGGTGGGAAGTGCCTAGGCCCTCTGTCCCTCAAGTGCCAAATCTAATGTTTCTCTCAGCAGTAGCAAAAATAGTTTGACAGTGCATCAGTTTTATGCAAGCAGTTTTTTTTTTTACCCAGCTGTTGCTTTTTTTTTTATTCCCCAAGACCTCAGCCTTAGGTTTGGGTTCAAAAGTCATAATAAGAGAAATTTTGTTTGACTTCAAGAGGCCCTCAGTATATGAAAAAGAAGTTGAGACTGGTGGGAGGAATGATTACTTCTGGTTCCAAAATACTTGGTAGAAGGAAATGGTGAGTGAAAATGCACTGTTGTCACTTGAGAATTAGACCTTACTTTAGAGGAAGTGTCTCAAAATCAGAATAATTATAGTCCAGAGGGTATTTTAGATATCTTTTCTTTTTTATATTATTTTTCCATACCCGTTTCCTCCAAAGAATGGTCTGCCTTAGGAAGTCTGTAGTCCAGGGTGTTTTATATGTATGAAAAGCAGACAGGGACAAATTCAGTTCCATCACACTCTTGTGTTTTGGAAGGAAAATGTGTTTTTTAACCTAAACAGGGACATATGGGAGTTGCCATGTCCTGGGGAACCAAAGGATTTGGGATGTTTGCCTTTGTTTGTGTATCTCACTGGCTTTTGTGATGCTAACTGTGGAAACTGTGAGCAATTTCAGCTTTCCATTATCTATCACCTATGACCTAGTTTAGAATTTCACTCTTGTGTTGCTTGTTATTCTAGTTCCAGGAATTAATGCCTCCCTGGAGGAACTTGATCAAAGCACGGGCTAGACAGTTAACCGAATGCTGTATGTATGTCAGACAGTCGCGCTGGGGTTTCCAAGAATGACTGAGATTTGAGTGGGTCTTCCTGGGACAAGCAATGGATAAGATAGTGAAAGTAGCCAACCAAAGAAAAATAAATAGCCAGATACAAAACTGATATCATGTTACCTAGCCGGAGACTTTGAATATGCGAAAAGCTGAAAAGGTTTTCATCTGACAAATAGTACTGTTGGGTTAAAAAGGACAGTAAACATTTTAGGAAAAGCTCTAAGAGGAATGAAAACAAGCCTAGAAAGAAATCCTGGCAGCAATTCTGGGTGTATTCCCAGCCATGATCCAGCTTCCTACCTAGTACCATGTGTTGCTGACAAAGCTTCTACTCTCCCTCCCTACTTGAGACACTGGAAGAAAAATATAGTCCAGGGGAAAAATATCTTTACTGTGCAGGTGACTGAGCACTGGAACAGATTGCTCAGAGAGGTTGTGGAGCCGCCCTCACTGGAGATATTCAAGAACCCTCTGGAAGGAATTCTGTGCCATGTGCTCTAGGATGACCCTGCTTGAGCAGGGAGGTTGGACCAGATGCTCCAGTGTGGTCCCTTTCAACGCTCTAGACCCATTCTGTGATTCTGTGATTGATTCTGTTATTCTATGCAGTCATAACTACGCACAGCAACCTCGTCCTTGTTTGGATCAGTCACTTCTGACTGATACAGCTTTGAGAAGATAAAGATATCAAGAGTAATACTCATATTCTGAGGAATAAATTTTTACAGTTTTTTTGTTTTGTTTTGTTACATAGTATAAAGAAGGTCCTGCACTTCTGATCTATCTGTAGCTAGATATCTGTGAACTTTTTATTTCCTGCAGTCATTTCCTCCAGTTCCTTCCAGCCTCTGATATAAAGTGATCAAATAGTAAATCCAGAAATTACAATTACTCATGTGTTCATAGTCTGTTGTGTCACTCCAACCATGAGACTCATCTTTCAAGCGTGTTCAATGATCATCACACTGGGCAACCTTGTGGCTTCTCAAGCACAGTCTTCTGGTAAGTTTAAATCCCAAGATATTTATTTAAGAAATTGATATATTAGCCAGCAATATTTCTGTGTGTACTTTACCTCATGTGTTACAATATTCAGTACTTTTTTGATGAAAACAATGAATAAAAAAAAATTCATATCCAGCAGAAATGAAAGTGGATTCTTAAGAAAAAAATAAATGTAATAACAGATTTCTATGGAGGTTTTCTAATTAAAAATGAAGGCAGATCTTGCTAAACTCGTGTTTGTTCTTTAAGCATGACTACTTACTTTCTAAGACATATATTATAACAGTGCAGATTTCATCCAAGAAAGATTAGCCTTCACATTCAACAAACATTGGATAAAACACACTCCAGGTAAGACTTCCATGCTTAGTACCCTTAAAGAATGAACACTATGGGAAAATACTAACAATATCTTATTCCTGAGAAAGTATCAAGATAAAAGTATTATTAGACAGCAAAAATGATAAAGACAATAAATAAGATCTCTACTTCATGTAGTTGTCTGCAATGCCACTAATTGGAGCTTACCAAAGGCAAATGGATCATTACACGAATCTAGCATACAGCCCAACACTTACATCAATAATCTAATCTTCACTCTTTTTAATTCATTGCAAATTCTCTGTCACTCATTTTATAAAGAAAAAGAAGTGCTTTAAAGTTATAAACTCATCAACCTATAAATCAGCTCTCTGTTCCACCATAGTAAGTACCATTTTCAACAATACTGCACCACCTGATTTTTCAGGGTTAATTGCTCCTGTGAGTCACTGGCTGTCCTGTGAGGGCACGTGACTTCCCTGGCCTGAGATGGTAATCACCTAGAGCCATGCTGTACTGATGGCAGGGCTTTGTAGAACACAATTTGAAAATTTCAGTTGTGATGCTTATATGATGCAAAGTGTCATAATGCTTAGCAAAGGTAAGCGATCTTCTGGAAAAAAACCGAAACAAACCACTCAGTTTGATGGACTCTAAGATTATGTCTCAAAATGTATATAAAGAATTCTTCCTTTCTGTCTTGTTACGTTCTTGGAAAGAGATTTTCTGTTCAGCCTCTGTCCTGTGCATTCAATTCAGCAGCCATGTTCACGATGAGTTGCACTTCTGCCTAAATTTGTTCCAGTTAAAAAAAAGAAACTGTTCTTCATAGATCAGTAGTACTGAGAGTAAATAAAGACTATAGGTTCAGATCTGGGTCTTATTCTCCAGTAGTTTCTGTACAGTGTGCTGTAATATGCGGAAGTTCAACATGTGATTACTTATCAGGTTTCATCAGTGTAAGGAAATCAAAAGTGGTTTTTCTTCTTTGTTATGTATCAATGAGGTTGCAAATGTTCCAATACATGCGTGTTCCATTCTGTTATCTTTGCAGATTGACATTCTGCCTTTCCTTTTTCTTTTTTTTTTATCTATTCCATGACATTAAGCCTTTTTACATGTTTCCCTTCAATAGTATTTTTTCTCAGTAATAAACTTTGAAAAGTGGTTTGGAGATGGAACGTACTTGCTCATACCCTTGCTTATGGCTGCACTTCATAATTTGATGCTCAAGGAAATTTTTTTCCCTGTAGAAGTGCTTTCTCCACACACCACCGTGGTATTTTCCATACTTCTCTGTCCTGAGACGAATTAGGTGCCCAGCAGTGCCAGTGAGGTTAAAGTCTTGTGCATAACCTTACCAATCCCTGTCTGGTTTTATGGAAGAGGTAGACTTGGATATTCTCTCTGAAGCTCTTGCTCCAGGGCACCAGTATGTGTCCTACAGCACTGTAACATATTGCATACCAACTAGACCAGCAGGTCATGCTCAGACAGAAAGTTGCTGCCACCATTTTTTAGCCCAATGATTCCTTATTTGTAATATTTTGACCTTTTCACCTATCTATTATAATAATAGAAAGAATAATTATAAAGGTGTTGCTTTGTTGTATTTTGTGCCTCTAGGATCATAATTAGAAGAAGGCCTTAAATAATTGCAACTACTGTGGAAGATCTGGCACATTTGCTGAGAATGATCCATGATGTTACAGTTGAATTCATAAAATTTCCATAACAAATAAAGGGAGAGAAATGGTCCCCTCTGTTCTGTTTCCTTTAACAGAAGATAGGAATGATTTTGCCTGCAGAAGTATAGGTGTATAGTTACCGAAAAGGAAACATCACCAGAAGGAAAATCCATGCATATCCTCAGAGGATCTGATGTCCATCTAATCCAAACTTTAAAAACCTCAATTAGACTATGCACCTTTTCTTGTTGAAATGTGAATTATGCAACATTTACACATTATAATTTGAAACAATGCAAAAAACAATGCATGTAAATATTTACTGTAAATTTACACAGAATACAAGCCATACTGCATTCAAAAAGGCTATAAACCCCATGAAATTGGGATGCACAGTAGAAAATTGTGACTAGAGCTCTAGAAATAAAGTCTTTAACGATAAAAAATCGTTAAGATTCTGTCCTACATACCTAGTTAATTACTTTGAGACTGATTTCTGATGAAGCCCTTAAAAACTAGAGCACAGGAAAGAATGTGTATAGAGAATATATATAAAGAATATGTATATATCACCAGATAGTTTATTACAATTTCTCTTTATTTCAATTAACTGTTTCTATTTATTGTTAAAAAATTTAATATTGCATTACCTTCTATTTTAGTGCACAAATAAGTGCAGGTTTGGGAGTTTATATTTATATGTTAAAATCACATTTTAATTCATAATATGTAGGTATTTTTGGCAAAAAAATATTCTGATCCTAGAAAGATTTATATATGTTTTTAAGCTGATGCGCACTGACTAATCCTGCTGAAGTCAAGTGGACTACTCAGAGGTTATAAAGTTAAGTCCATGAATAAGTCTCTGCAGGACTGGACCCAAACCAATATTCTTTGTCATCTGAAATATGTTCATTGCCAAACCCAAGATTTAGTCTTCATCTCTGAATTGCAGCCTCTAATAAGTAGTGCAGATTTATAGTACAGATGAAAAAAATAGAGAATAATGAGTGTTATTTAAAGTTCAGAATTAAATGATGTCTTGTTGAACTGGCTAGTCAGATCAGACCCTCAGTTTTTACTTTTTTACTGTAATGTGAGGAAATTCCATGTGGTTCCTCTGGTTTCTTTGTTATCATCCTTCTCTAGAGACAATCCTATCTCAACTAACTCACACGGAGTTTGAAGAGACTGAACACACCATTAAAATAACTTTATGGAAATCAAGTTTTTAGTGTTGGTGTCCTTTTTGCATTGTATTGAGGGAAAATGTGGTGCCCTGAAAAAGGATTTCAAGAGTTGGCCTGCGCAGAGATGGAAAGGTGGCTTACAACAAAAATCTCTACTTTTACTTCTCTGCTGGCAGGTTGCGGGATAGTCGCAGGTTCAAGAAGATTCCCAATCACACATCACCTATTTGAGAAGCAAATTCAGTCTAAATATTGTCACCATAGTTATTGTCAGGTGTGTGAAAAAAAATTTACATAAAAAATTTCGGTGCGTTCTCTCTCACAGTTAATGAACCAATGCTATCTCTCCTAATTCCAACAATTTCCCTATAAGCATATTTACAAAAAAAAAAAAAAAAGTTATACTTCCCAGTAAGATAGAAATTCAGAAAAAAAAGCAGCAGTATAATATTATTTTAGCACTTTGAACTTGGAGGGATAAAACTCAGCATTGCAGTTTTTCCCTCTCTGAGATACCTAAAACAATCATTTCCTCTCCTTTCTTCTCTTCTGTTAATGGTATTTTTTATTTAGGCTATAAACTCCTTTTTCCCTCTTCCTTCCTTATTTCTACGCCTGTAAAGCCCTTGTGACCAAATTGACTGAATACCTCAGAGTGATTATGATAGAAAGAGGCTTTTTGCAAGGGCATGTAGTGACAGGACAAGGGGGACTGGCTTTAAGTAACAGAGAGTAGGTTAAGATTAGATATTAGGAAAAAATTCTTTACTGTGAGGCACTGGAACAGGTTGCCCAGAAAGGCTGTGGATGTGCCATCCCTACAAGTGTTTTAGGCCGAGCTGGATGAAGCCCTCAGCAACCTGGTCTAGTGGAAGTTGTCCCTGTCCATGGCAGGGGGGTTGAAGCTAAATGATCTTTAAGGCCCCCTTCAATCCAGGCTACGCGAAGATTCTATGATTCCATGATTCCATGGTTAGAGCTGCTTTTCTTAGCAAATTGTACAAGATCCCCCAAAACCTTTACTGATATTAGATGTCTTCAAACACCTACTTTTCACCAGTGAAGTAGTCTCTTTGCTTTACAATTGCCTTCAGTCTACAGATGTTAGCAGCTCAACAGCAGATACTAGCAGCTTGACACCACTGAGCAACATGAGACCAGTCATATATAAACCCAACCTTCACCATTTGCTGACCACTAGAAATCAATGCAAGATGATTTTTCACATCCTGGGCCAACAGCTGCAACCTCACAACTGGAGAGCAATAGGATAAACTCTGGTTGTTGAGCTCACTCTCCAAATAATGAAAAATTCACTGCAATATTTTTCAATGGAGTTGCCCAAGTCCAAGTGAGGGTTTGGAACTGACACTGTTCATCTGGTAAGAGTCCTGGCACATCTTAGATTAGTTGGCTGCACCTAAGATGGGACTCTCAGACGTCCACTCTCTTTGCTGTCCTGTAGGTGAGACAGCCTTCCCCTCAGTTCAGCACATAGGCTATTTCAATTATTTTCACAAAGTGCAGGAAGATGAGTGTGCACAGCTCTTTGCAGAGATGTTAAGCCGCCTTCTGAGAATAAACTGAAGAACGTTGCTTGGTTTTGATTTGAAAAATTCTTCAAAACCTTGCCCTACAAACAGAATTTTGCTTTCTGTCATTGTGCCAAACTATATTACACATAGAAACAGCATTGAAATTAATTTTGAATTTAATTATCCTTGAAAATATGTAATTAAGAAAGCAAGTACTCTTCCTGGGTTTATTTTCATAATTGAAGAATGATCATTAGTAATTCTTTCTCAAAGCAAAAATATCTGCAATCAGACTAATTATTAAAAAGTAGAAAGTACATATTTTGTTGCTTCTAGAGGGAATTGAAAGGATTTGGTCTAAATTCATAAAAATTATCTCAGGACAGTACAGTATTCTCCATTCACTAACATTTATATTTATATTTATATTTATATTTATATTTATATTTATATTTATATTTATATTTATATTTATATTTATATTTATATTTATATTTATTTATATTATTTGTATTTATATTTGATTTTAAAATGTCAGTTTTACTTAGAGAGGGAGAACATGTAATTATACATTCAAATCTATATTAAATATATGTTTATCTACCTTTATAGAAAATATGTCCAAGAAGTCATATGGATTTCAGTTACACTACAATATTGCGGAGCACAACTATGTAGTCCATAAAAGTTAAGAAGTATTAGTGTAATTGCAGACCAAGAATCCACTGTTAGACACTCTGCCGTCATATTTCTTGGTGGCTTTAGTTGAAGAAAAAATCATCTCTTTGACCTGTGGACAGACTTACAAAGAGCTTGAGAACTTAGGAAACAAGAGGTACGTAGGTAGTCTGTTGTAACAGAGGTAGAAATGGCTGGATACCTTTTGAGGGTCTTAGCTTCTATTTTTGTCTCTGCTTGTAGTAGTTCTGACACACAAGATTTTCTGTTTGAGAAAACAATACAGAACAAGCCTGCAGGCATTAGTTAGGAGCTGGAGGAGTTAGTTTCAAGTCTTTCTTTTGAATAAGAACAGAATCTTTTTTACCAGAGCTCCATGAATCACATAGCAGAAACCTGCAGCTACATCTACCCAGTATCTCCTGGATTTCTGTCATAACCATCTTGAATAATTTTGACAAAACAATGTACTACAATACAAATACATCTATACAAAAATGTTCTGACTAACTTTAACTAGAGTAGTCATAAAATATCTAGACATAGAGATATAGGCATAAAAATAGGCAAAATGCTTACTTGAACTCACATGCCTTTCTCACATTCTTAATATCGATTATGGAGCAAAAGATAGCAACCATGAGAATAGCTATGTGTGATTCCCATGAAACAATCAGAACAACTGGATGTGATGAAAAGCTCATAAGAAATGATTTAAAATTTTTCCACCGCAAACCTCTTCAAAAGTCCAGAGTGGCATAAAATGTAAACAGCAATCAAAACTAAAATCCTATATTTTCCTCCTAGGCAGGAATATTCCAGCAAAGGTTTTTAGTGATAGACACTTCATGGCTAGAGATAGCAGTCTGCAGTTTTTTCCTTCAAGTGGTTTCTTGCTGGTATTCAAGATAAACTTTCTCTATCTTTTTCATTAAATTAAATACAATTTCACATCTTCTGGAATACAAAATAAATAATCTGTCCTCCTCCTCAGTATAGAATGGATTTCTAATCCTTCTGCCTTCTTAGTTTCTCCATTTCTTCAATGCCAGGTTCTATCTTCGGTGAAATCCTGGTGGACATGGAATTAAAATACCTGTTTCCCTAGCAAGAACTGTAACAAGGAAATGATCACGAGAGGAAATAATATCTGTGTACAGTCAAAAAACATTAAATGATCACACTTGTATTGAAGGTGGAATTGGCCAGAACCACATAGATCAAATATGTAATACCCTTACTTGTGCTGACCTGCTCCGGATTCCTATGGCTCTTGACTGGTTTGGACCAATGGTGTCAGTTCCTTATTTCTTACAGTAAACATTTGGCAGTTTACACAGAGGTTCCATATAGCATTAGTTCCCAAATAGTTTTCCTTAGTAGGTATTATGGGGATAAGCTGGCCTTAAGGCATAGGCCCTGCATACATGCCCTGTATAGGCCCTGTATAGGCATTGCATACATGTGGCCCAGTATACATCTTTGGGCCAAGGGACCATGGGGCCAAATCTTTCCCTGGTGTTGCTGTGCAGGCTTTCATTTTGCTATTCTGAAATTCTAATTTCAATCTCTCTAGGTTATTTTACTGTTTCCTTGTATTTTAGAAGTTCTTATGTCTTCTTATTTTGTGATCACCTGGTACTACTGCATACATATCTTTGAAATACTGGTTACCTATAAATATCAAGGCATGCTTTCCATACTTACTCCTGAAACCATATTCTCTGTCATTGTCCTGGGCAGGTTTGGAAGATGCCATCAAGACCAAAATAATCAATTTCAATAATGAGAAGATGCAGATCACATGGGCAGCAAGAGAGCTTTTTCGCAATGAGAATGTGTCATTTTCTTACACGTGAGTATTGTCAATGCCTATTCTTCTCTTTTTAAGGGTTTGCTTTGGAAGGCTGAAATATCTAAGTCTATTTGAGTCTTCTGTGAACTGAAAAGGGTTTTAACATTTGTTAATATCCAGCATGAAACCTGTTTATATTCTCAAACTGTTACAGAAGTGTACAAATCAACAAGCCTGGTGAGTAGCCTGTCACCACAGATATTATGTGAAAGATTTGTCTCTCTTCTGCCATTGTGCTAAATGCTAATGCTTATTACAGTATTGAAAGTGGGTTTTCCACATATGTGTGTATATTTTCTTTATTAATGACTGACATAATTAATGACTAACAGAAATTTAATATTTTAGTTAAAGTCAGTCATAATGCTTGATCTTTTCTTATTGGGTAGTACATGTGAAAGAACTTTTTGCAGTACATTTTTGGAAACAGAATCACAAAAGTATCTGTTTGAGCAAGTAATTCTCTTATTAGAAAACAACAGCATGAAGGAAACTTGATTATGTCAGACTGCATCAAAGCCTAGGGCTAGAATTTCAATAAGTTTTGAGCAATGAATTCCCTCACACCGCTGTGAAATCTGTCATTTCAAGAAATTCCATGCTCAGACTTCCCTTGGTAGGAACGTTTGGGGAAAAAAAAAAAGAAGGAAGAAAAATTAATAACAGTAACAAAAATTAATTGAATTGACATGTGCTAATTGGTAAGTTTTCCATTTACTAATACTATTTCATTTATAGATTTGATGAAGGCAAGCACAAAGTTTGGAAACCATGTCCCACATATTTATTGGATCAAGATTATAATTTTGGGTGTCTTTTTAAGACAGAAGGACCCACCCTTGCCATCTCTATTAGGAACAGCAACGGAAGTGAAGAGCTTTTTTCTAAAAAATTAAAATCTGATTTTTATAGTAAGTATGCAAAGTCACAACTACTTTGATAGTCCCAGTACCCTCACTGATTCTCCATTGTCTGAGTTTGAGAATAAATCAGTTATATTAGCAGATAAAATGTTATTTGTGTGTGTGTCAAAACTAAATTGTACTTATTTCATGCTGATTTTTTTCCCTTGCTGTCACCAGTAGTTACAGCCTGCAGCTGAAGTTAAGTGAGATAGCACAGGACAGTCAGATTTGTCACAAAATACAATTTCAAAATCAGAACAAAAATACAAAAAAAAAAAAAAGTAGGTGTACTTTGTCTAGTGCAGGCCTGCTCGGTAATCGCATCAGGAAAATTAATAAAAGTTCATAGTTTTTTTGTCTTAGTGCTGACTGTTAGAATTATGATCTTTCTCATATTTTCAACCTTCTGTTATTTTGTCATCTTCCATGCAATATGAGGCAGCAAACAACTTCTTATCAAAGCTGCTGTCACAAAACCCTCATCAGATATCAACAGAAATTAATTGAGTGGCTCTGGTACAGAGTAAAAGGGACATCCTACTACTAGCAGAGAGATGATATTCCTATTTCTGTTAAATCTTTCCTGCCCCCAAATACATATTTCATGTCTAGTGTGAGATTAGTTTATCAAAATCTTCTGGAATTTCACATATTTACAGCATTTAAAGTGGAAGGATTTTTTCCTAATACAAATCTCGTAGAAAATATACAATGAAGAATTATCTGGAAAAAAAAGTGTATTCCAAATTGATTATAATGTTTCAGCAAAAGAGATTAAACAAAAATCTGTCAAGGCATTGAATTTTGAGAATACTTTTGTATGTCATTCTGACAATATCTGCTAAATTTTGGAAAACTGCAGACTGATCCTCAAATTTTGGCTATTAAACACCCACTGATAATAAAATGAATTTCAAAAGGGTTAGGTAACAAAGAAAAAACATCAAGCACCAGACTAAAGTATTTAAATTAGGAGGGCAGCATTTTCATAATACAAAAAGGGAACTAGGACTGAGAAAGCAGGCAGCAATCTTCTCACCCCTTCATTTCCCACTACTAAAGATTAACCATCTGTGTAGTTCAAACCACGTCATTGTCTTCCAACCACCTGTAAAAAAGACTGATGGGTAGATTCAGGTGGGAACCCAGTGCTTTTTGCAGATGCCCCACCATATCCCACAGAGCCTCCAGCAGCTGCACAGGTGTGTCTTGGAGTCTTTATGATACCGAATTTGTCACTTTGTTTCCAATGAAGAAACCTTTTTCTTTCTCTAAATTACAGGGAGTATGAGGAGACTGGAGTCCTTTCTTAAGCACTTGCAATAGGTTCTTGACATGAGGTAGTAACCACCTTTAATGTGGCACCTCGAATGGTGAGCAGTGTTGTGGTGCCAGGCTCCACTCTGATGGTCAATAGGGAGATCAGCCACAAAAGCAAATCCAACAAGAAGAAAGGCCACCTTCTCCAATTACTATTCAGGGAAACTGAGACAAGGAAGGAACAACAATAATTTTAAGTGGGAGGTGCTTCTTTTTCAGAGTTTATAGCAAAATTTGTTTCTATTCTTTTTAGTAAAACCCAATCCACCAGAAAATGTGACCTTCTTCTGGAAAGAGGACACAGTTACTGTGAGCTGTAATAAACCAGAGAGAGCTGTGAAGTGCTTGAGACTTGAGCTTCAATACAAAAGCACGTTTGACAAAGAGTGGCAAGTGAGTTGAATGCCCCATTTTTAATCAACATTGGAAGGAGCTGGAATAGCATCTCCATAGAATGTGAAATAGAGTTGTTTTCAAATTGTTCTCCTGTCCTATATTTTCAAATAAGGCTGGTAGCAGAAAATTTTTAGGATCCTGGATTCCTGCAATGCCAGAAATAATTTACTTTATGAGTTATATCCAGTTGCTACCCAAAGAGCTAAGGACAATCTAAGGGAAAAGTCTCACATTCAGAATAAAAGAGTATGGAAAGATAAAAGAAGAAAGCAGAGTAGACAAAAGAGAGAAAAATAAGAAAAACTAATGAAATAGTGTGAAAAAACCAAAATTACATGGGATTTTTATTTATTTTCAAATTAGCTGCTAAGTATTTCAAAATATTATTTCATCAACTTAAATCTTTCAATTTTCAAACATAACTTGTAAATATTTTGTGGATCGAAGTTTCTTTGTATTTTGTAAAAACGCAGATGTAACACAGTGCACGACGTAATGGTTGTTCTGACTTTCAACTCAATACCATACAAAGTGGAATAGATATGAATAGTAAAAAGTTAATCAAGAAACAGAATTCCTTGAAATGCAGAGAAGTCAACATTCAGTTCTGAGGTTTTGGGTTGGTCTATCCTTTGTCTTGTGGCCATGACTGAGTGTAGCATTCTGAAGCACTGCCTTGAAAATCAGAATTAACAACAATACACCTTCCTTCTCAGTCCAGAACTTCCAGATGTTGCCGTGTTGGAGATCAAGGCTTTGATTCAAGGAAATGCTATTCTTTCCGGGTCAGACTGAAGAGACTAGTACCCCACTGCAACGTAGTTAATTACAGCAGTGACTGGGAAGCAGAAACATTTTGGAAGAATGGCACGTTATTAGGTAACAGTTTATATATATGTATATATATATGTGCGTGTGTGTGTGTATACACACACACACATACACACACACACACACACACACACACATATATACACACACATATATATATGTATTGTCTAAGTGCAAAGGGGGAAGGGAAGACTGCAAAAGATGCTGGGAACACACAGTGAATGAATGTTGCACTATTGTGCTCCATCTTTTGTTATCAAAGAAAGTTCATGGGGGTATCTAATTGCCCATGTTTAACTCTGTCCCTTTTGTTCCTGATGGCCCATAAAGCAATCAATTTATGTCATAATCAGCAAAGTTAAGAATATTCTTATTATTTGTGTTACTGGAGTGTCTAGTGTCCCTCAGTAACAGTGATGTGATACATGGGGGTTCTGTGAATGTGGGTGTTGTGGGGGGTGCCCTCAGGATATTTGGACAACAAACCCAAACCCTAAGCAAACCTTTGATGCCCCATTTTTGAATGCAATTTATTTTGAAAGTATATCCAGTTGGACTACTGGACCAGAGGTCACAGAAGTCTGGTGTTCATAGGTGCTGGATGGATCAAAACAGAAGGGATGATGAGGAAAAAGAATAAATGGAAGTAAAGGCAGTATGAGAACTGCTTTCCCACCAGACAGATACATCTGAATGTGATTGATTTCAATTAGATCTTTGATGAAACAGTTTTACTACTGACTACCAAAACTAAAACCCAGATTTGTTGTAGTAAAGGAAAGACCACACACCATACTAACACTTTTGTATTATATCAGCTGGCACAAAATGCTACCTGCTAGGCTTTATCACAATTATGAGACACTCAGATGTCCAGTGTACCAAGATCTGAGTTCTCTAAAATGCAATGGGCTATTAGATCTCTTGAAGAAAATCTATATATGCAAAGCTGGGATGAAATCCTGGAGCATAGGTATGTGTACCCTGTGCAGTAGTGGCCACAGTGCTGGCCTCCACCATGCAAATTGTGAGCCTACAAGGATGTCCTCAGATGTGTCTGGTAATTGCCTCCAAGGAAACACAGAGGACCTTGTCTTCCTATGCACCTCTGAGAGGTGACCACAGATCAGCCCTACCTGAACCATTTGACCGGAGGCTGCCAGCAGGTATCTGCAAGGAAGGAAAGCACAGAGGAGACAGACTAATGGTTCAGGGACTCTGGGTGCCCCTGGATCAGAAGTGACATTGACATAGCCCCTTCACTGGGGCAAGTTATTATTGACTCCGAATCTAACATCAGTGCAAGCCACGGACAAAGATGGGCTCAAGAAATTTCATAAACTCTGAAAACCTTACTTAGGGGTCACAACCTGACTTGTGGCTTCCTGGCAAGCTGAACAGGGCAGGCAGATGGAACAGGTTAAGCAGTTGCTTCTATATAAATAATCACTTAGTTTTTAAGAGTATTTATGTGGAGACCAGAAGGTTAATAGTAGGAGGCAGAGTTTTGAGGTTGCATTACAAAAGTTTCAAGTAGAATACTTGGCATGCAAAAAATGCACAAATGCATTTGTTTTTTTTTTTTGATTCCTGCATATTAGATGTTGTCCTGCCACTAGTTACTTTCTGGGTATTAGCTCTTGTGATTTGCTGGCGCTTTGTTTGCTGGATTTGTTTGTTTGGTTTCTGTTGGGAGATAAGACATTCAGGCTTCATGTAAAATAGCATTTGCAGCTTTAGTGATCGTGAGTAGATGTATGCAATACAGAACTTAGCACAAAGTTGCTTTATCGCTGTCAATGCAGTATGATGAAGATGTTCTGGGTCCCTTTCTCCATCCACGACGTGGGGGAGCCCAGCTCTAGTTCCTTCTCCGTCTGAAGAACCATTTCCGACGTCTTGGTGGACGGGGAAGGGGGACTCCAGACACAGGGTTTTTCAGGCCCCGAGCCTGGAGGGGAGAGGTGCCCTCCCCTCCCCCCAGCACCCACGTGGCTCCATGGCAGGCACAGAGACAGCACACCGGGCGTGGAGAGGAGGCAAGAGAGAGTTTATTGTTGGGAAGGGGTTTATAAAGCTTTTAGGAGGGTCAAAGGGGAACCAATCACAAGTTCAGGGTCACACAAAAGAAACCATCAGGTAAGGGGTCAACAGCCAATAGGAAGGGGTTAAACAAAGGACCAATGGGACACCTCGGGACACCTTTCCCAGGACACTCCTGCATGGGAGATAACAGTTGCTGTGGGGGGTGTTGGGAAGAAGAAACACGTGTTTGCAAAGGGACCACAAAGAGCCATTTTAAGACATGTTTAAACAAGTTTCTCATCAGATATAGTGCTACATGAAGATGAGAAGAAATACTCGATTCATTCATAATGCATCTACCCTTCCTATAACCTCACTCCTTTGTCCTGTCCAGGTCAATTTAGATAAATAAAAGCACAGTTTTCTTTTGTTGAAAGGTTTGGATGAGTATAGGTTTTCTTTTCAGTATCAATTGAACAAGTAAACTTCTTTTATTTGTTCTTAAAAACTTTTCTGCGTTTTTTTTTCTTCTTTTTAAAGAAAAATTAATATTCTAGCATGATTAGGAACATTTATTGTTAAAGCAAAAAATAATTTTTTGACATACTGTTTTTGTAATTATTCTTAGATTCATGTGATGATGATAGAACATCTCAGTCAAACACAGTAATTGTTTTAAGTTGCTTACTGGCAGTACTTCTGATGATGATTATCCTCCTGATTCTTCTTTGTAAACGGCAGAGGTAAATATGGTTTTGTTGGTTGCTACTAACTAACATGTCACAAAAATATAGCTATCATTCACGATCAAGTCTTAGCAATCAAAATTCCTATTGGATAAATGAAGTCATTGTGGAGATGTAAAAGTCAGTAGCTTAATTACTCTTTGAGGAATAATGCATTCTGGCCTTCCAAACACCAAGGCCTTTAATTTTCAAAACCAAAATAATTCTGGTAAAAGACTATGTTTCAGGTTATAATTCTGTCTCTTCCACTTAAATTCTTTTCTTTTTTTTTTTAGAAATATAGTTAAATCCTGAGAAGTCAATAGTTTTAGTTACTTCTTCTGAAAGGACATTCTTTTGTCAGTCTTCATCAAACTCAATGTCTGTTTGCAGAAGGATAAAGTAAACTTGAGTGCAATTCAACTTTAATGAGACAATATCAATATTTGGATTTGCAACTGAATGATGCTGTTCATGTTTAGAATTTGCAATTAAAAAAAAAAACAACTACCAAACAACAAATGAAACTTGTGAAGGCCTCAGATTTTGGCTTTTTTTAGGGGAAAAAAAGGCTAAATATGCAGTATTTTCAGAGATGAAAGTATTTGGGACTCCGATCACCTTTTTAGATCATAAATTGCATTTTTTCTCCTATGCTTCTGTGTTTCAAATTTACATTTGTGTTCTTTAAGCCAGCCAATACAGCTGGTTGCTGCACCATCTTCCCTGTGGCCAGAAAATGCAAAGCTCTGACTAGTGCATAGAGCAGAATGGCACTTGCTGACTAGCTGGAAGTTTGTATTAAGTCCAGATTTTACTAGAGTGGGGTTGGGTCAAAAATTTATTAGAAAAAGTACCTTTAGCCTCATGGTGTTATCATACTGTTATAACTGCTTTTTTTACTTTAGAACACATTTAAAAGAAATCAAGACTAGAGTACTCTCATGTAAAATATATTTGTGGGTACAGAACTGCACTGAAGTGGATTTTTGTATGAATGGTTATGTTATAATGAAACATCAATTTGTATTTTTCTTTACTTTTTGCAGGCTTCAGAAGTCAGTCATGCCTGCTATACCAGATCCAAAATACATATTTGCTGATCTCTTAAATGATCATAATGGAAACTTCCAGGTAAGCATCACCTTAGCAGGGCTGTAAACTCTACAGTGTTGAGAATAATTTAAAAGTAGCTACCGATTTTTACCCTGTCACAGGCACAAGCACTCTGACCCAAGACAAAAGCCCTAAAGTCCTTCCCCTCGAGCAGTATCACCAAGAAGATTCACAGAGCAAATACCAGGACTCGTATAATCAATGTAGTGCTGCTTTGGCACTGTGAAAAGACACTTGTTATAAAAGACAGAATCTGCTGGAGAAGAATTTACAGGTGTCCAGAGGCACAATATCCAGTGTGATGACATTGTGGTGTTTGCATCCATTCCTGCACATGATATGTCAGGGAGTTTGCTTCAGCCTGGTCTTACCCTTTATGTTTGTGAAGTGCTGACAGAGTGATGGCTGAGCCAGTGAGTGCTGAGCCAGTGGTGGCACTTCATGCTTTTGGAGGCATCAGTCACAGTAGGAAGCATCCTTTCTTAGCCATAGAGATGCATAGTCACCAAACTATTAGACACAGAATGGCTAACAGATGAATAGATTACAGTTTTTGTTTTTGCTTTCTTAATGTTTCTCATGAGTCCCTGGCATCACCTATGTGGTGTAGTTTTCTGTATTAGCTGTTTTAGTGTTTATCTTAATTATTACTATGTTTCCTCTGAGGGGAAACAGGTCAAATATTCACATTGACAAACCCAATGACAATATCAAAGAGCAGTAATGATTTTTCCATAACAAGCTGAAAACTTTTTGTATATGGTAGCTTTAAACTAACACTGAAGAGGAAAGGTACAAATTCAAATTAATACTGAAGCTTTAATACAGATATGCTATGTTGCCTAAATCTCCATGTAAACTCAGTCTTAATTTAGATTAAGTCAGGGCTTGCGTCAAAGAATGCATAAGTCTGTCAAGGAGGTAGCACCAGATATTTCACACATTCAGATTTTCAAAAGGCCCTGACTAAATACAAATATCTATTTAACGTGGTCTCGAGATCAGGTGGAATTTGTATGCAGTTCTGTCTGTTTTATTTCCATTCTGTCTTTCTTCCATCCTTTTATCTGATGTCCTGCTTGTCTTTATTGCTTCCTCTTCATCTTCTCCATTGTGGCTTATCCTGGAAAGATACCATTATGAAAGGAAAATCAGTGTCTTACAACCAGGTTTCTTTTGATTGATATCTCATCTCTGCCAACACCAATATTTTAATTTTCCTAGGAATGGCTAGACAAAACTGATCATGTGGTGCTTCAAACCAAGCTAGAATATGAAGAGCCAGAGTGCATCACTGAGGCAGAAAGCCAACAAGAAGATGAAAAGAACAGTGGCAAACAGGGGCCTTAGGAAAAAATCTTCACTTTTTCAGGAATGGTTGAAAATAGTGACCTCAAAGCAGCTCAGATTACCTGCCTGATACCAGCATCCAACACTATAGTTTCTTTTGCTGGCTTCCATATTTTAATGAATGATGACATGTATGTGACTTTATAAAATCTGCACAATGCAGAAGGTGTTAGGAAATTACATAAAAGATCCTGTTGAGTTTAGGGGAGTGACTGAATAGAAAAGATCATTATGATAAGATTCACTTCAACAAAGGCACTGGGCTGTGTTATCTCTTTTTGGATCTGTACTTTCCCAACAATTGTGATAACTTGGGCAGACTCAGTGTTTGAAGCAAACTCCTGATAATTTATAGAGCTAGGATTGTTTTTCTAATTGGTATTAATCTCTGAGAATAAACTGAGACTTATTTTCCTCTATGGACAGGAGAGGACAAGAGGTCCTCCATAATATATGTCAGTAGAGCTGAGACTTAGTCCTCATGTTTATGGAATGTAGAGCAGTGCAAACTAGACTGTTGTTCTTCCCAAATGAAGAGGGAAAATGAAGAGATTTTGCTGTCTCACAAAGACCAGACCATATACTGTGCTTTTTCACAGTGATAGGGTACTGCTTTGCAAGCCTTCCTTAGACTAGAGGTTCTTGCTCTTGTAAACTGCTTCTCCCAGTGTGTAACTTTGCACTGCATAGCATGCCTTCAAGGTTTTATGAGGAAGCAATAAGGCCCATGTCTAAGAACAGAAGAGCGAGGATGTACAGGATTGAATCATATTTTATCCTGCAAGTAGTGCTGCGAGTAACATCCCATAGAACAGGACAGGACTTCAAGTGCCTCATCTAAAGGTTGGGTCCTCTGTATCTTACAGTCTTTGTACAGTCAGCATCTTATAGTCTTTATTTTAGAGCTGAGGTTCATTTTTAACAGTATTTATGTTTAAATGAGTAGCATTTATTTCAAACTGGGGTTTGGTGCAAGCAGCAGCTGTAGAACCAAATTAGGATTTACTCATATTGCGTATGGTAGATTCTTGGTTTTCTTTAGAAAATGTTTGCTTTGTTTTGTTTTGTTTTGTTTTAACAAGAAGTTTTAAAAAACAATTTTAGAACAGTGTCCTAAAATTTTCTAAACATACCATATTTTAGAGTATGTTTAATCTTAAATTTAATATATGATATACTAAGGAATTAGAGCTCAGAAAGAAAAAAATCTTGTCTATTCTGATTTTTCTCATATCACTTATGTTACATGCTATTTGAAAGCAAATTTTGTAAAAAAATTTCAGTGTTAAAAGTATGTATGATCTGCATAAAGTATTGTAGATATACTGTGATTATGTGTTGAATTAGCTCCAATAACTGCACATCAGTTATTTATTAAATGACTATCAGTTGACTAACCTTTGACAATTGCATACTTTCACTATGCACTCACACTAATTTATAGTGCAACTTGGAAATTTCACATATCAGAAAAATACAGTGATTAGTAAAGTGTTTTTAATTCAGTGCTTTAAAAACTTAAATTTCAGATCTTTTTGAGAATAGGAAATAGCAATATGGATGATTAAGTTTCAAAGTGTGTTTCTAGGTGCTCCAGTTTCCTGTACAAGGAAAAATACAGAAATTTTCTGGCCAATAACTGGAAAACTTAATTGGGAGGATAGTTTAGTCATATTGCCCAATATTTTCTTGACATTAACTCAGATTTGACTGTTCACTAAGAAGATTAACACGTTAACAGGAGATTTCCCATAATTACAAGAACAATTTTGCCTTGTCCTCTCTAAAATACATGAATGCAAATTTTGGAGGTTTTTTTGTACACCTCGCACTTCTGAAAATTTTTCTGAAAGGTAAGTGTGCAAAGTTTCAGTAGCAATGTAAGAATGCATTGAATTTTAAGCTAATTCAAGCTACATAAAATTTGATAAGCAGAATCTATCTCAGCTCAGTTCTTATAAGTTGCCATTATTGCATAAGAACCAGATACAGTGAATTACAACAGACATGAACATGCTCCAGTAATGATTATATGAATAAATAAGGAAGTAAAGCCCAGAATATATTGCTTAGTTACTTCCTCTTCAAACCATGCATAATATATGGTTGTCTGCAGAGCCGGCTAGATGCCTTAATTGAACCACTTTCAATTGAGCAAATACTTGTCTGTCTGAATTCAAAATGTTTTAGTATACTTGCCTGAAATCTTATTGTGTAAAAAAAAAAAAAAAGAGTACTGTTGGATTGTTCTGTTTAAGTAGCATTTCTGAATTGTAATGTTAAAGTCATGTAAGTTTTTAGTACAGACTATTATGTTTTACAAACAGAAATGTGCATGTATACAACCTTATTTACACTGTATATAAAAAAATAGAAATAAAACAAATAAAACACCCAAATATCTCAAATATTTATTTAAAACATTTATTTAAAAAAATGATTTGAAAAACGTCCCATCTGAAAAAAATAAAAGGAATTATATACATTTAAAACAAAGTACTTTTTTTCTCCTCAAAAAAAGTGAGAAGGAGGCTACACAATAACTTTCACATCTTCCTTCTTATTTATTCAAAAGTTGTCATGTTCTTCAAAGGCATGACTCCATCAGATGCTACATCTTGTTTCCTAATTATATCGCACAGAAAGGGAGCCACTGTGTGTCATATGGTAGTACAGACTACTTGAACTGTATTTTCTCAACAGCAGAACTAACATACTGTATATTTCTTCCTCTTGCGATTTTGCCAGTACTGGGCCAATTTAGATTGATAGATTGAACATCTCTACTGTTTGGTTTGCTTTGATGTCTGATTTTCAGTGAAAAGAAGAATAGGAGGAAATCACATTTTTGTTAAAACAAGTAACAGAACTTACGAAAGCCAGTCTTGTACCTTCTACTTTCCTTTTCTTCTGTTTGTGTTTGTTAGGTTTTTGTCTGCTTTTTAAAATTACAATAGGGTTTTTAAATTTATTTGGAAATATGCTTTGCACAATTATCAAATGCATAATTTTGAGCAGAAAATGGTTAGTTCTTCTGCAATGAACCTAGAATTTTCTTACAGTGTACTTACTAAAGCTTTCAAAAGCATTTCTGCTTTTTTTTGGGTGACTTACATTTTTACAGTCACTAAAGTCAGACAAGCAAAATATAGTTTATTTTGCTTTTTCCTTTTTCTGCAAACAACGTGAGCTTCAAAGATGAAACTCTAGAGCCACAGTTATTGCATGCTTGAAAAACTGGACTAGATAAAATGTTTTGGTTTTTTTTGGAAAAACCACACAGGTCTAAATTTGTCAAAATACCAATGGCAAACAGTCAGCATTTTCCATGGGAAAAGATGATGTGACCCCAACTGACCTTTTGTCACTGACTATCTAAGTAGAGATCTGTCACTGACTAACCTAGTGGCTGAAAAACCAGTATTGTGCAATAAGAGAAGAAATGCAATAATAACTCCCCCTCTCATGGAAATTTTTTGTAACCCTTATGATTTGAGAGCTGGTTTAGTGTTATCTGCAGGTCTTGCTTCTGCTTGGTTTCTTGCTGGCAACTACTGGCACAAGGTTTTTTGGGTGGGAAATAGAAGGTGTACACTCACCCTGAGCAATAACTGGTTCCTGCATCCACTTTTGCCATATGACAAGCTTGGAGAGGAGCCCCTAACTTGCAACGTGAGAAGCTACATCTCTTTGGGGTTTCTCTCTCCTCCTTCCTGTGTGTGTCAGGGCCAGGGAAGCAGGTGAAGGCTGAGCAGCCCAGCTGCCCAGCTGGGAAAGCTCTGTCACAGGCTGCAGACAAAGGAGCTTGTGTCCCTTTCCCTTACGGTGAAATAACACAATTTCTTTTTCAAATTGGAATCCCTTGGATTAGTGATGGGTTTCATGTTTACCTACTCTGTGTCTGGGGCTTCTGATTTCCTAGTATTAGAGGATAACTGTGAAAAAGAAACAATAGGCACCGTATTAAAAGAAATCCCTGTGTATATCTAGACAGGCTGAAATTGTTAACAGAAGATGGGCCAAAGAATATCTTTACATTTCTGAAGTATGGTTTCTGCTGTGCCTTTTGCAACCAGACATGTCTATCTCGTATTGGCCGTTTTAACCACCAACGCACTTGTAACAAACATAGGTAGAACCCTTCCCAAATCTTCATTTGCGAAACCTAGCCATGATAAATATTATAATTATACAGAATAAAAGAGGTACAGATATTAGCTCATGACTGTTTTGCTTTGTTCCTCTCTGTTTTCTTTCTATCAATATGCTCAGGTATCACCACTTTTTGATAAAGGTTTTCCTGTTCTATATTGGTCTGCAAGACTTCTGTTAAAAAGTAGCAGTTATCCTGGAAGGTTATTAAAGGGAAGAACAGACTCAGTTTTGGCTTTTTGATAAGAAAACAAGATGGGTAGATAAATTGTAGGCAGTAGGTCTTGTAAGGTCTACAGATAGAACGAGCTATATTCTAACACTAACTCTCTGCACTTCTACAAAATTATATAAATAAGAGGAAACATATCAGCACAATCCCCTTAAAGTATGAGATATTCCTAAAACAATTAAGAAATACCATAGTATACCTCTTAACTAGGAAGGACCTTAAAGTCATCAATACTAACACGGAGAGGGACATGTATTACCTATACTGCTGTATCTTGGCACAAACAGCTCTGCTTTATCCTGTGACTCTTTAGTGGAATGAAGCTGATGGGAAAAGCTTCAATCCCCTTTTTGGTGGGCATCTGCATCTCTGGGCTGTGATGTGATATATCCTCTCTGACCCAGCCAGTCTGGAAGAGGGGTTTTTATGTGAAAGAGCTGAGCTTCCAAAGAAGGGTGAGAACAGCATACACAAATGTATCATGGTTTTTAATGAACACAGGAGGTCCTTCTAACTAAAAAGAAGAGCTGGAGGGGAGGGGGCTGATTTCTACATACCCTGTGAATTCTCTAAATGCAGAGCTATAAGGTTAAGCAGGGAGAGGGACAGGGGAGGT